ACTCAACACAATGAAGGGAAGGAAATTTGCATTAAGGTACATCATAAAAGTTCAGAACACCAAAGATGAAAGGAAATGCAAAAAACATACAGATAGAACAAACAAGTCACTTTTAAAGGGCAGGAATCAGAATGATGCTAGCCTTCCAACAGCAACAACAGAAGCCAAAAGCCAATAGATCAATGCTTTCAAAATTCTGAGGGAAAATGATGTCCAATTTAGAATTCTATACTTGGCCAAACTATAATCCAACATGAGGATAACTGCAACTAACTCTCAAATGGTTCCCAAAAAAGTATGCACTTACAATCTAGAGAAAAGATGTAATGCAACAAATATGGCAAAAGGTTAACAATTGGTGAATTGGTAAGGACACTTTTTATAATATTCCTGCAAGTCAAGTCTTCTCTAAGTTTGGGGGAAAAAAAAAAAACCCATACAATGGGGATAAAATGAAGGAATTTTTAGATAGGTAAGGCCTCCAAAGTTTATCTCCGTGCCCACTTGCTTTTTTTTTTTTTTACTTTTTATTTTATTTTTCCATGCCCACTTTCTTACTAAGCTACTGTAAAATTGGATGGGTTTATGGAAACAAGAAAATGAAAGAACCAAAGTGCAATCATGGGATCAAGAAAACAGAGAATCCAGCACAGAAGAGAAGAGGTCAGAAGTCCTGAGACTACTGCTGTGGGGTGCTCTGGACAGGAACCAGGCTGACCTGGAGTGGGAGGACTGAGGACAGAAGGTTTATTTCCAATAATATATGAAACTGATAGATTCGCTGTTTGAGTAATTTTAGAGTTCAGAGAGTTTGGGGATGAATAAGTGGTTGGGGCCATAGAAAATAGAACAAACCAAAATTTGAGTTAATTATTAATTCCAGGGGCAATGAACAATTGCACAAGAAAGGAAACAAATTATATGGTTGAGCTGTGAACAAGATTTATATGGGCATATTAATATAAAGATGAATATATAACATAATCATGTTGGGAATGAGGGGAGGGAAATGATGTGTGAATTGAGGGCATAAAAGACAGAATTCCTCATTGTCCTTAGTAAGAAATCAATAGATAATGTATAAAGTAGAAAAATCAAGAAAAGCAGTTAAAACCTATTCTTTGGAAATATAGAGAACATGAAAAAATTGCTAAAATAATTGAAGGCAGTGTCCCTGAGGAATGGGAGTCAGAGATGGTAGGGAAAAACAGGGGATGTGGTTTTGTTTCATTTGGTTTTTTGAGACAGGATCTCACTCTCTCATGCAGGCTGCATTGCCTCGGCAGGATCACAGCTCACTGCAGCCACCTCAAACTCCTGGGCTCAAGCAATTCTTCTACCTCAGCCTCCTCAGTAGCTGGAACCACAGGTGGGTGCCACCATACCTGGTTTATTTTTACTTTTTGTATTTTTTTGTAGAGACAGGGTCTCACTATGCTGCCCGGGATGGTCTGGAGCTCCTGGACTCAAGTAATCCTCCCGCCTTGGCTTCCCAAAAAGTTATGATTACAGGTGAGCCACCTCTTCTGGCCTGTGTGTGTGTGTGTGTGTGTGTATTTTAATAAGTAGGGTTTGTCAGGAACAGTCTCCATTTTTCCTTCCTAGTCTGGGATAATTTTATTACTGTTGCCCCTCTTACTCCCAAAGTTGTCCCAGTTTTGTATGTAGCTCTGAAGTACTGCTTCATTTTTTAAACTATGTTTGTCTGACATTTTGATAAAAGTGAAACAAAAAAAGAAGGCTCTTTGGACCTTAAATAAAATAACCCTGGTTCATCAAACTCAGCCAAAGACTTTAATTTTCTTTTTCCCCAAAACTAATTCTTGTTTTCTAAAATTTTTACCTCTGTACATTAGAATGTATCCAAAAACTAATTCTTCATTTTAAATTAAATACAAGCAATGCGTCTGTTTCGAAGCACTTTTTACAGTCGCTCACTCGTTTAATCCTTACAACAGCTTCATAGAGTAAGCATCCTATCCCATTGTAAAGATGATAAAAATGAGGTTAGGGAGGTCTTCTGATTGCCTACCAAGGTGACACTAGACCACTGGACCAGGCCCTGTAATTACAGTTTGCACACTCTTGCCACAATTTCAAATGATAAGGCATTTAAGCCATCCTACAAATGAACAGAATCTGAGATATAAAACCAATAACCCAGATTAATAGCCTAACTATTAGAAAAACAGATTATGAAAAACAATGAATAATTTAAACATTCTTCTGTCTTTGAAAAGCAATTCTAATTAGTCTGCCCAGCTAGGCTTAGTGGAAACTGAAATCACCCTCACAGGAAGACAACCCACACCTTCAGCCCCTGTCACCTTCGGAGTCCCAGAGGATAAATCCCTGCTGCTAAACCTCCAGACCAGGAAACCAGTCCTAGTGGTTTTTGTTTTTCTGTTTGTTTGTTTGAGATTACGAAATAATACATGACTATTTCAGAAAATGTAATAAAATAGAGATAGAGCACAAAAGGAAAAATTAAATATTCTAAATCCCATCACTTAGAGGTGAATACACTTAACACTTTAGTGTATACATCTCTGACTTTTTGTAACACAAATACAAAAACAGGATCATATGGCACGAACTGCACAGTTAGTCACCTGCTTTTTTTCACCAAACACTATGTTTTGGACATGGTTCCATGTCCATAACCATATGTCTACATTTTTCTTTTCAGTGGCTGCTTCATGGTTCATCATTTGAAATACTGTATTTGATGAATCCTCTGTCACTAGATATTTGGGTTCTTCCTTTTTTCTTTCCAGCATTAACTCTGCAACAACAACGAAATTCTATACACACATCTTTTTATTTATTTATTTATTTATTTATTTATTTATTTTTGAGACGGAGTTTCGCTCTTGTTACCCAGGCTGGAGTGCAATGGCGTGCTCTCGGCTCACTGCAACCTCCACCTCCTGGGTTCAGGCAATTCTCCTGCCTCAGCCTCCTGAGTTGCTGGGATTACAGGCACGTGCCACCATGCCCAGCTAATTTTTTGTATTTTTAGTAGAGATGGGGTTTCACCATGTTGACCAGGATGGTCTCGATCTCTTGACCTCGTGATCCNCCTCCTGGGTTCAGGCAATTCTCCTGCCTCAGCCTCCTGAGTAGCTGGGATTACAGGCACACGCCACCATGCCCGGCTAATTTTTTGTATTTTTAGTAGAGATGGGGTTTCACCATGTTGACCAGGATGGTCTCGATCTCTTGACCTCGTGATCCACCCGCCTCGGCCTCCCAAAGTGCTGGGATTACAGGCTTGAGCCACCGCGCCCGGCATCTATACACACATCTTTGTGCCCATGACCAATTATTCCTCAGGATAAATTTCCTGAAGAGAGATTACCGTGCCAAAGAGCATGTATTTCACCTGGGGCTTCTAATTCACATTGTACACCACCACCGAGAATGTGTTTGCCCATACTCTCATATTCAGATGACCCAATGTGTTCTCTTATCAATGCTTTTTTCCTTCCTGTGGGTTAAACCATGAATGAAACAAAGCAAAGGGGTTGGGATGGGAGGCAGTTGAAACAAACAAGAAATTTCAAGAGTTCCTTAATTCCTTCTTTCTAATTCCTCCCACACTCTAATGATTTTTCCAATTTGGAACTCTGGCCTGACTGGTTCCACCCTCAGCTCATACACCAACTTTCCCTGCCCATCCCTCTTCTGTATTTTTGAGGTTGATTTAGTCTCTCTTCACTAGCGAGTACATACATTCCTTTGAGGTGAGGGACATCACCGTAAGTGTCAAGGTTTGAACAATATCATCACAGGGTCACCGTGACACGCCCAAGGATTCTGAAATGTCAGGACCAGTCTTGTTAGAATGAATTAACAGTCTCCCACACTGATCTGCCAGCCATGAGAACAAAGCCACACGGAAACTAAAGACACAGAGGCAGTGTCCAAGAGCTGGCTGGACATTCCTACATCTCCTCTGATTCTCAACGTTCCCTGGGCGCACTCCCTTCCAATTCCTCCACCACTAGCCCGGCACTGAAATGCCTTTACTTCCTGTTCCTCACTTCCTCCACGATCTGGGATCACGCTCCCTTTCTTCCTAAAACTTTCACACCTAGTTTCGGATAGTTGACCGTTTTGCACAAATGGTAACATTTACCTGCAATTCCTAGTGTGTGTTTTTTTCCTTCCTTATCAAAAAGGGCTGTCTTGTTCAATTTATGAACCCAATTCCTTCTTCCCTCAAGACTGACACAGAGATTGACTTAAGAGTATGCTCAGGTCGGTTAAATTTATAAATACAGAACTGGGTATCGCATGCTTGACCACGTTACTCATTTTATAGACGTTCCTCTTGCTGGTGGTACTCACCCATAAAATAAAACACCCAGAACTTTGCACCTGGACGTGTCAACACTCAACAACCTTTGTCCTAGGAACTCAGGGAGTCCACAGCTGGCTTTTAACACCCCAGAGACTGAAGGAGGGAAAAGGATGTTGGTTGCGACAACTGGGCCTGGTATAACGCTAACTCCCGTTTTGGCCAAACCTCCTCCAACACACATGTCCAAAGCCACATTCTCATGTAGAGAAGGCAAAACATTTGCTTTCTGGGTTTACCTTCTACCATTTCAAATCAACTGTGCCAAAATTTTCCCTATTCACCAGGATTCTTCATAAAACGTACACTTCTATTTTTACCGATTTTAAGACAATAATTAACTGCTCTATCTTTACAAAAAATACACAAAGTGATACAGTCCAAAGACCAATCCTCAGACAAACTCAAGTGCTAAACATCGGCAGGGAAAAACGGGAGACCTCACAGCTAAGACACTCGGAGAGGCAGCTTTCGGCGCGGCGGGGAGGCCCCGCCCAGACTGCGGCTCCGCCCCTCCTCCCACCCCTCGCTAGCAGTCCCCGAGCCCCGCGGCTCCTCGAATTCCCCGCCCTCGGCCCCTGCGGGCACACTATGCAGGCCCCGCCCCGGCCCCGCCTCGCCGCGACGTCAGTTGTTATGTCTCGGCTCCGGCTACAGCCGCGGCTGATCTACGGCTCCGGGGGCTAAGGCCACGGCCTCCTGAGGTGGCGGGGGTGTTGGGGACGGCGGCCGCGACCGGCGCCGCCCATCGGAGCGGGGCAGGCGCTGCGTGGCCGGGAGGCAGCCGAGGAGCCGCCTACAGGAACGGCTTCAGGGCCTATTTTTGCTTTTTTCGCTCCGAGACCGATTCCCTCTGCAGAGACCGCGACGCCCCATCCTGTGTCGGGCCGCGGAGTCCGCCCGGCTGAGAGGTGCCGCCCGTCCGCCGGCTCGAGCGAACCTGGAGCCACCGCCGTGCCCGCCGCGCTTCTCGCGGAGCCTGGGCTGCCGGCGGGGCCTGGGGCCTGGACGTCGGGCGCGGCGCTGCGGCGGCCGCTCCTACCCGCGCCTGGCGCGCTGGGCCCCGGGCCTGGCCCGGCCGAGCGCCGCCCCCTCCTGACCCGCGGCCGCGGGAGTCCGGCCCCCAACAGCCCCTCGGTCCCCGGCCTGCTGCCCGGATCCCCGCCTCCTGGGCGGATCTGAGTTATTTTTTGGTCTCTTCCCCTCCCCCTTGAGATCGCGGCACCAGAGTGCCGCCGACCCGCCACCTGGGTCAGGGTCCCCCACCGGGGACGCGTCCCTAGTTTCGTTCTTCCCCGCGAGCTCTCCCCGCGCCCCTCTCCTTTCGGTGCTTAATGGATGGGGGTTTTGAGTTTTTCCCCTTTATTTTTGTCGCTTCCTGACCGGGAGGCCAGGCGCGAGGCTCTGCGCCTCTGCGTCCCTCGTCGCCGCCTCACGCCCGCGCGGATCCCATCACCTGCCTCCCCGCGGGGCATGGCCGGCCAGTGACGGCGCCGGGCGGCCCGCGCGTGGACACGGGGCCCTCGCCCAAGCTGTCCCCGAGCCGCAGCCCCCACCCTGAACCCTTCTCTCTCGCGTATTCCGAGCTCTCTGGAAAGAGGATACTCCGGGGAAGATGTGGCTGAAGCTTTTTTTCTTGCTCCTCTATTTCCTGGTCCTGTTCGTCCTGGCCAGGTTTTTTGAGGCCATTGTGTGGTATGAAACTGGCATCTTTGCCACCCAGCTGGTGGATCCGGTGGCGCTGAGCTTCAAGAAGCTGAAGACCATTTTGGAGTGCCGTGGGCTGGGCTACTCAGGGCTGCCGGAGAAGAAGGATGTCCGGGAGCTGGTGGAAAAGTCAGGCGAGTATCGGGCTTCCCCTAGGGTCCCCTCCACCTGGAAGAGGGGACGACCTGTAACTCCTGGTACCTGGCTGTTCTCCCAGAGTGAGGCCTTCCCTAGAAGGGTTAAAGCTGCCCAGGTTTCTTTGTCCAGCTTTCTACAATCAAGTATGCGGATCCCAGCTTTGAGGAGGAGGCTGAAATTATTTGGAGGGGTGTTGGTGTATCCTAAAAGGATAACCTTAAAAAGGTTATCGTAAAATGACAGTTTTAAGTGTAGCTTCTTAGCGTTGTTTACTAAGTTGAGTGATTTTCTCAAAATTTGGGAATATCAACCGGTTACAAACTGGAAAGCATTGTCAGTTGAGTTCATAAAAACATAAGAAAAACTCAAAAATATTGTCTGTCAATAGCAATATTTGTTACGATAGTAATAGTAAGATACCCAGAGTAAGGATACATCTTTGGAATGCTTACTATCAGAGGCACTTGGGCCTAGGATTTAAATATTAAATCATGAGTTTGGATATAGACAGTGTACACCATACAGTATTAGCTTTTCAGACTTTAAGTTTGGTGAAAATAAAGCGAACATATTGTATAAATGCCTGCTTTGTTTGAGTTTATATTTTTGTTAGGATTTTTAAAAATTTGCATCTTGGATGTAAAAAAAAAATTTTTTTGTCTTCTGTGTCACAGGCACCCTTGCATCGTTTAATGGGTTGAGAAATAGAAGTGAAATAGTGCTGAGAGAATATTAAAGTCTTAAAGAATGTGTTTTTAGTAATTGTTGGTTTTGGTAGCATTGGGTGAGAAATATGGTTAATTTTTTTAACTGCTGTACAAAGTATATCTTTGGATATGCTTCCTGAAAGTAGAATGTAATTTGAGAAAGGCTTTCTGGGTTGCTGTAGGAAGCAGTTGAAACTGATGGTTATCTTTTTTGTTGTTTCAGGTATTTCTGTCAGCTGTGTCTTTTACAAGACAAATCTTTTCCTTCTTTAGTACTCTATAGACATGTAGTGTGATAGACAAGAATATGAGCTTGTTAGTAGTTTAACACTTGGATATTTGTAGGTTTCGGATTATAAAACTCATAGCTCACTATTAGGGTAGAGGAGAGGAACCCACTCTGCAAAAGTGATAAATGTTTCTTGAGAGAAAATATAAAATCATGTATTATTCTTGTCCCTTGTTTACTGACTGGTTTATGATGATTCTTATTTCTACTATAGGGGGAAGAAATAGAGTAACTAGAGTAAGATCTCTAATAAATAAACTCTCTTGGTTTAGAGATGAGAAGTGTCTTAACTGCTAAAACCAAATCATTTTTTATGGAAAATAGTTTGATCACACATATTTTTTTCTTTTGACTGCTATTTATTATTGCCTTCTTTTGGGCCTGCAAATACTTGGCACTTTGAATGTATTAGGAGTCCCCATATAACTTAAAGATGCACAGCCCACAAAAGTATGACTCAAATCACACATTTTATGGCAGAAAACTCATGGTATGGCAGTTTAACTTTAAGATATGTGAATGGTTTTGCTGCTATCATGGTGCAGTGCTTGGCTTCTCACTGTTTAATATTTAAGGTGAAAGTTAAAATAATTTGACCTTAGTGTTTTCCTTTCCTTTTGTTTAATGGTACATTTGATGTTAATTTGTTTAATGATACAAATTTACACTGTAAATTTGTATATGAATGTGGAGTTTGTTTTAACAGGTAAAGTTCTAACATCCAAGTCATACAAACCCTGTTGCTCTTTTAAGCAGGGCTGATGACAAATTCTGTGAACCCAATTCTAAATCTTTTAAATAAGAAGCATATAAGCCATACTGTTTAAAAATGTGTATGAAGCCTGGATATGTCATACACAAAGCTAAATAATTAATAAGGTGATGCCTTTTTGGACTGGTACAAATTCAGTAATTTCCTAATAATTATGTGATAACCCCACTAAAATGTAAGCCCTATTCTATAAAAGACGAATTTTTGTCTATTTTGTTCACTTTTGCCTGACAACACAGTAATTTCTTACTACATACTTACTGAATGTATGACTCTTAAGTGGGTGTACTCAGGTTCTACTAGTAGTTCTTGTCTCTAGAATACAGTTGAAAGTACAAGAACATGATTCGTAACAGTGTAAAAAATGGAATTACTGAAATTGGGAATCTAGGATTTTTACAACCTTATTAGTATTATTCTTTTCCTTTCTTCAGGTGACTTGATGGAGGGTGAGCTCTATTCTGCTCTCAAGGAAGAAGAAGCATCCGAATCTGTTTCTAGTACCAATTTCAGTGGTGAAATGCACTTCTATGAGCTTGTAGAAGACACAAAAGATGGCATCTGGCTGGTTCAGGTATGAAAAGCAGTGATAGTTCTTGATAATTTGAGAACCTTAAAAAAGTTGTTTTTACTAAATAGTGTATACCAGCGAGTGACACTTCCGTGTACTTGTGTCTTGTTTCTCACACATAACTCAGTTCTCTTAGGGAGGCTCTAGTATCTTCTTAAAAAGGTTTTGGAGACTGAGGAAAATGAAGATTGAGTAGTGGGAAAGAGAAAGTTGGCGGATGGGGGTCAACTTTTTGTTTAGAATCCGGAGAAGCAAATCTATTTTAATTACTGGACCTCATTGAATTAAGAAATACACATATATATCCCTTTTATTTAGCGATTTACTCTGTTTCTCTTGGTTTTTATCTCCAGTTTTTAATTCAGTGGCCTGAATAATTTTTCTATATAAGAACCCTAAAGTAAAAGTGAAGGAATAATTGTATTAGGGAAATAGCCAACTTTGTGACCATGTGGAATATGGTGGGGGTGCTCATTACGTAACTCATGATGATGAGATTATACTTTTTAACTTTTTTATACATCTGTTTTTATGATAGCAAAACTGTGAGACTTAATTAGCATATTAGAGTTTTAGAGCTATGAAGGACGTTAAAAATATTTTATGCTTTCCAAGATGTGATTTATGGTAAGTGGGAACACATTATCATTTACATGGTTTAATGTAAATTAGAAAAATCTATATTATATGAACATGTAAATTTCATAAATATTGCTTAGGACAGGACTAAAGTTACTTACATTTTAAAACTGTGCATTCATTTAAAGTGACATATCAAGTAAATTAACAGCATGAATGTGGCCAAAATTATTAACGTAGTCTGTGAATGGCTGAAGCTTGGAAATTATATCAGACTAACCCTTTCTGAGACCCTGAGAGGTGAAGTAGCTTGCCCAAGGTAATGGAACTAGTTGGTAATATTGAACCAGGATGAAATCCCAAGCCTTCTGATTTCTTTTCTGGTACTTTTGTTATTTCACACTGGAGTGGGCAAAGTTTGATTTAGGGCATGAAAATTAAAATAGTTTCTTCATATTTCTCTCTGAATGCAAAGACTGCAGAATATGGTAGAGAAAACTTTGAGTTCAGAGACCTTAGTTGCAGGTCTGGTACTGTCACTAACTAGCAGTATGATTGTGAATGAGCAGTATGATTTTTCTGCTGCACATGGCCTCAAATAAATACATATACATCTAAAGGGGATGGAATAGTACAGTAGTCCACTGTGCTAAAGGGTTGAGATTTGGGAATTCTTCCAGAGATTACATTGTTTATCCATGGCCTTTATTGTAACCTTCCTATTGCTTTTGTCCTTTTACTTTCTAGATAATCTAATTCATTAACTTTTAAGTTCAGCAATGGGAGAGAGAATGGAAGGGTATGCATGTAGTCTATACGTTATCCATTTAAATTTTAGTTTATTTCTATGTTTGTTTTATTTAGTTTATTTTAGTTTAGTTAATTGGAGTTGAAAAATAAGCTGTAGCTTTTTTTAAAGCTTTAATTTATAAGTATATTGTTGTTCTATTTCTTTTCTCTGGTACTAATTTCTCTTTTCTTTTTTATTTTTGTATCTTTTATCTTTTCCTACCCAAATCAAAAGGATCTGGCACTTATTTCTCATAGTCTGATTGAGAAAGACACTGGTTTTGATAGTTTGAGATTTTATTACTGAGAATGAGTTTATTAGGCAGTCCCACTGCCTTGTGTTCAGTGTCAGTTTGTCACCCACACTGACTAATCCCATGGAAATAAATGGTGAAGATGTTGCACACCTTTGAAACTTGGAAGGGCCATGTCTGAAGTCTTGAGTTCTTTTGCTATGTAGGATGCAGTCTATAGGCAACAAATAAATTCTGGTTCAATAGTTAGCCATATGTTCTTGGCTTGTAAATGATCTACTGATTTTGATGTCCTGTTAAAGATACCCATGAATTAAACTCCTGTAATAAATATGTGACAGAATTCATCAAAAGTTTGTTCAGCAGATGTGGGTGTGCCCGGCCCTGTTCTGGGCCCTGAAGATATACCAGAAACACATACCAAGCTAAGGCCTTGCTCTGTCAGGCAGCTTACATTCCAGTTGGCAGAGGCAGACACCAAATAAATAAATACTTAAGGCCAGGTCCAGTGGCTTACCCCTGTAATCCCAGAACTTTGAGAGGCTGGGGTGGGCAGATCATGAGGTCAGGAGATCGAGACCATCCTGGCCAATGTGGTGAAACCCCATCTCTACTAAAATGCAAAAAATTAGCCAGGTTTGGTGGTACATGCCTGTAGTCCCAGCTACTTGAGAGGCTAAGGCAGGGGAATCACTTGAACATGGGAGGTGGAGATTGCAGTGAGCTGAGATTGTGCCACTGCACTCCAGCCTGGCAACAGAGTGAGACTCCATGTCCAATAAATAAATAAATAAATAAATATTTACTATAACATCAGACAGTGGAAAGTACTAAGAAGAAAAATAAGCTGATTAAGGAAATGAGAGTGGCAAGGAATTCTCTGGTAAGGTGACACTTGAATGAAGAACAAATAATGATAACAAATGGTACCATTATAAATTCTAGTTGCTAAATTAATTTTCCTCTGAAAATATTTTTAAACTTCATAGGTATTGATAGTTGAAAAATGACTCTTAAGAAAAAGAGAATGTGTTTCTATGGTTTTCTGTGTATGGAAATGATGCAGTAGGACACCTACTTAATTTTACCAGTGACGCTCAAGGTTTGCTGTCTGGCTTGAGTTCCTTGGGACCGGTGGCATATAACTGTCAAATGGCTTATATCTGTCAACTGACCACCACTGTCTGGCTTGTGTTCCTTGGGGCCGGTGGCTTATATCTGTCAAATGGCTGGCCTGGTCTGAAAGAACAATCTCTGGCAGGACAACTGAGAAGAGTGAGATTGAAACCCTGTCCTTGGCACTGTGAACTAACCACTTAAGCTAATCAGCACAGCTACCCTGGTTTAAGCCCTTAAAAGAGGGTTGTATTTTTTTTTAAAGCTATGTTTAACATTGAAAATATCTACTAGAAACAGAAGAGAAATATTGTCTCCATTTCTTGCCATTCTTTCAGCTCAGATCATATATTTTAATCTATGGTAAAGGATAACTTTCAAGATTTCAGTTTTTAACAATTTGAATCGTTGTCCTTTTCTGTTTACAGTAGTCCCCCTTATCTGAGGGGCACACCTTCCAAGATCCCCAGTGGTTGCCTGAATCCGTGGATAGTACCAAATCCTATATATACTATGTTTTTTCTTATACATTCATACCTGTGATAAAGTGTAATGTATATGTTAGGCACAGTAACAACAACTAATAATAAAATAGAACAATTATAACAACATACTGAAATAACTTTTATGTAAATGTGGTATCTTGCTTTCTGAATATCTAATTGTATGTAGTATTTTTGGACTGCAGTTGACTGCAGAAAGTGAAACTGAGGATAAGGGGAGGCTACTGTATTTTAGAAGAAGCTGACTAATTTGTTCTCTGTCATTTAAGTCTCTGAGGAGTGTTTTCATAGATAAAGATGCACAGATGCCAGCCAGTTCAGTCCTCTTCACATTTTCAGGTTTTTCCAGGTCCATTCTACATATAGTCTCCATAATGAGAACAGAACTAATTTTAGTTTTCAAGGTAGCAACATACATATACATCTTTACCATTGACATACTATGTAATACATGAAGAACTAAGTCTTCTTTTTTCTAAGTTATTTCTAACATTGTTTTTCTGCTTTGTCCCTAACCTAAGCTCATATCTTTCATTAGCTATTCATTTAACAGTTTTGTGGATTCTTTGGCCCCAGTCTTCATAGCATCACAGATAGAAGATGGTTACTATTTTTTCAAAAGACCCTTGGTCAGAGAAGCAGTTGGCATTGTGGATAGGCTTCTGAAATGGAGAAGTTAGCATAATTTATGGGTTTTATGGATTTATCCTCTTCTTAGCATTTCTATTTCTCTGTTTTGACTTTTGTCATAGTTCAAAGAAGGACATATTTGTTCCCTACTGGCTGTGTTACATCACATGGAATTTAAAGTCACTGGAATTGAGGCAGCAGTAAGAAGCATCATATGATTTAAAGTAAAGCTTTGGGTCAATATTTACTGAAGTATTCTGTCAATGTATTTCCTGTTTGTTTGACAAGAGTTAATAGCTGATTTTAAACTTGTTTATCTTTGCTCCTAGACAATAATAGTTTTGTTCGAGGAGATTCTAAATTACTTATTTCTTATTTGACACTACTATGGAGGTGAAACACATAACAAGCCACTTTATCTTGGTATAAGCGTTTATAAACTCATAAAGTAAGAGTACAAAAAAATTTAAAAACCACTGTTTTGTTTTTGTCAATCACTTGTCCTCTCTCTTAATGGTTTTATATAGTTTGCATGTATTAGGTTGGCTTATGATTTTGAAAGTAGAGCCTATTATAATGAAATACTGACAAATGCAGAAAATATCATAGCATAACACTCTTGTTATTCCAAGGAGTTAAGTTATTTAACTAAACCTAACGTTATTGTATGGAGATTAACAATATTAAAAGGGGTATGCCACATGTTTTGATCAGTATTAAACCCCACCTTGAAATAATGAACATTTTAAAATGCACTGAATTAGACATCTTTATGTCTGAGATCGAGAACATTGATGTGCAGTTGCATAGCAAGGTACTATTTATGCCACTGTTTATCTTTGCTCCTAAACAATACTTTTGTTCAGGGAGATTCTAAATTACTTATTTCTTACTTTTCGGTGTCCAGAAAACATCCCAGTGACAGGTTGCTGGGGAAGGGACCTTGATTATAACAGAATTCAAAAACTTAAGAGTCTTTCCTTTAGAGACTCTGTGTAATCAGAACTAGAAGAATGAGTTATTAAACTGTACAAAGCTGAAATCATTTGGTTCAACATAAATATTTATTGAGCACCCACATGAGCTAGGCACTATATTTGCTGCAAGGACTACAGTGGTGAGCAAGTGTGTT